ATTACAGCATTGTTTGCTTTTAGTTTATAAGTGAATCGTTGTATGATTTGCCAAAATTTAGTCATATTAAAGGTATGGCTAAACATTTGGTGTTCATAAATGTTAATAAAGGTTGGCCCCCGATCTAGCTGCTCTGAGAAGAAACTGCACTATCATTAATTATCTATTGTGTGTTTGTGTTGAATTCTTGAACACTGAACACATTGCAAAACTTCATATATTAGCAGTAAAGCCATAGATTCCCCTCAAGCATGCAGACAGTGTAATGATTGTATTAAGAGGGGAGAGGTTTCATATTCCCTTGAGTCTGGGTCAAGGGTACTAGATCTTACTCTATCTCAGGATCTATTATGGATAGACTGGTTAACCTGTCATATACTAGACAACTATATTGGGGCTATAAACTTCTAAAGAAAGTGATATATTGGCTGTGGATCTCAGATATGCATACAGACATTGAGATGAACTACCTTTGGAAGGTGGCTACATTCAAAGACCATTTAGCTGAAGTAACTCAGCAAAACAGTAATGCCAAAAGAGAGTTGCAAAGCAATACATACAAAAGCCAATGCACCCCTAGCCCACTAACCATGCATGAAATTACGGTGGTTTCCTACAATACTACCCAGAATGTGGCTGAAAGTTTGTTTCAGATCTTAGATAAATAACTGAGAAGCAAATATCCTGTTTCGTATTTTATCACAAGACAGTAAGGCATTCATGAGTTAAGTATGAAACTAAAATCACATTGTCTCGTAGCTGCTGTGGTGAATATTTTCTTGGAAGAAAAGCTGTCAAGCTTCCTGGCTGGGTGCTTTTTCCTTAGAGACAGTAGAGTGACATAGAGCTATAATAGAGCTTGGTCTATAAAAAAGATCAACATAGATCAGCAGATCAACCTTTAAAAAGATGGGGCCATTTAAGTGGTTTTTGTCTTTGAGTCTTATCAAATAATCGCAGACCTGACAGCAACATCAGGTTCACAAAGAGAGAAAGAGAAAGAGAAAGAGAAAGAAAGAGTTAAATAGTGACTGGCAACTAGAGTGCACAAAGTTTTTCTCATTCCCTTTCTCTTGCTACTTGTTGGATGGGGATGAATGGCTGTCTGCTCTACAGTGTGGCAGGCGAAGTTCTGGGCTCAGGGAGGGATTCCTTAGAGATGGGAGAGGAGAACAGGGGGTGTTTATGGGGGGGATCTTGTAAGCTTTCATTGTTGTCCTGGGCTTTCCCACACTCTCACTTTTGTGTGTGCAGTCTCTTGCAAACTCTGACATGATGAATTACCTGCTGCATGCTGCATGCCATGTGGTACAGTTGCATGGGAGTTACTAAAGTACCAAAGCGCTGCTCCCTTTCTCTGTTAGGTACACCTCCTCCCCCAACACCATGCTCATCTCTCAAGTTGCTTCCTTCCGTTCATGAGCAGACTATCACTCTCCCTCCCTCCATTATGTTCCTCACACTCAAACTATCTATCTTGGAAACTGAGGCACACGGCCACAGGCTGTTCAACTTTCTCTCTCTTTCTTTGCCCATTAGCCTTGTCCAGCCCTCTTCTCATTGGCAGCCGATGATGTCCGGAGGGTCTCTGGATCAGTGCCCCTACCTCCTCATAAAAAGCCTTTCTTTGCTTCTAAATGCGAGCACCAAACTGCCGGCCATTAAATGTTTGGTCCGCCACAATAGAGACATTAACACACGAGTGAGTGGCTCTGAAAAGCCTGTGAGTGTTAGGTGGATTCAGCATGGCAGACGACCCTTTCAGTGAGCTCTGTAGTACCACAAGCCCAGTGGTTTCAGCTGAAGATTCAAGATTGAAACCAAGGCTGAACTGTTTTGGGACAGGTGTAACTTACTCTTAAGAGAATAGAGCTACAAGTGGAGTATACATACACACTACTGTTCAAAAGTTTGGAGTTTATTTATTTGATCGAAAATACAGTAAAACAGTAATATGTGAAATATTACAATTTAAAATAACTGTTTTTTATTATAATATATTTTATTATGTAATCTATTCCTGTAATAGGCAAAGCTGGATTTTTAGCAGCCATTACCTCTATGTCACACGATCCTCCAGATCCTATACTGAATTGAAAGTTCAAATGAACAGCAGTTATTTGAAATAGTAAAATTTTGTAACACTATAAATGTCTTTACTGTCACTTTTGGTCAATTAAAGTTTATCACCCTTGCTGGATAAAGGTATTCATTTCTTACACACACACACACACACACACACACACACACACACAAAATATTACTGATCTCTAACTTTTGAACAGTGTATAGATATTTCAGATTAAATTAAAATCATTTCAAATATAAATGTACATCTTATGAGTAAAGTAACAGGCAAAATGCACTTGCATTCCTTGCTTTGTTTTCGAGGTTTCAACAGATTACTTTCTTTTGTGGTTCCATGTGCATGTGGTTTCCAGCAGTGAATCTGCACAGCAGTGCAACCTGCCAAATAGAACAATCTGCAGTATGAGGAGTTGGATTTGGCCCTCAATTCAAGCCATTATAACTGACTGACCTTTCAGGGTGAAAGGGGGAGAGAGCAGGTGACCAGAGTTCAATCCTTTTAGAAATGGGCTGAAAAAAAAAGGTAGAGACTGAAGCATTTCCTTTGGATAAAAAGTCAACCATTAAGCTTTGATGTGACTCAAAATGACACCGAATGGCAGAAATGCACAAATGGCACATTAATTAGTCTGAGAAGAAATGTTTTGTGTTTGTGTGTGTCTTGAGCACTAGCTGAAGCTAAATGACAGTGATTCTATGAAGAACTCTTAACAGTAGCTCACTATCCTCCTCTAATGGCCATTTGTGTTATGAAAGCGAAAGGAATATTGCAGGCATATTTCATATACTCTGTCCTGACTTCCATGGTTTCTCTTGAAGAGCAGAAGCTGACACTGCACGGGTTGAGTTGTTTATTTCACCCCATGGGGGAATTTAAATTAGGTTATAGGCCTGTATGGTGTGTAAATTGCTTAATTGTCTTAATTGGACACCTAGAAAATCCCAGTTGGAGCAGAGAGAAAGTGGATAAAGTGATGCTGGTTTCACTGGTCGGTGTTCAGCTACGAATTCCAGATCTGTCAAAGATTACAAATTATATCTTGTAATTTTAATTCTACTGTAGTTCATTTAGCATACCTTATTTATAAAAGAATAGTTCCAGATCTAAAATCTTATTGGATAAGCTATGTTCAAGTGAAGTCCATTGTAGAATAGCAGATAAACGGATATGTATGGGCACACTTAATCTGAATTCTGCATTAATGTGCCTAAGCACTTTCTTGCGATTTGCGTTTTTGTGTGTGTATGATTACTGTGAATGTGTTTAATGGGATAGTTCACCTAAAAAAGTTCTGTTATCATTTACTTGCCATCATGTGGGTCCAAAAAAAAGGGGGTTTTGAAAAATGTTGGTAACAACATTCTTTAAACATAAGGACAGTTTTGATTTGCTGTCCATTGACAGTTTTGCTGGTAACTGACTTTTATTGTAGACATTTCTTTCAAATATTATCTTGTTTGTTTCACCGAAGACATACAAGTTTGGGACAACATGAGGGTGAGTAAATGATGACAGTTGCCGTTATTTTTTGTTGTATGATGAAACAGTATGATGCTTGTTGCCGTGTGTTACAGTAATGACTTATTCCATACTAATATGAGACATTTTCTTTTCTCTGCCTAATAATGGCTAATTTTGATATACAAAGATGGTACACTCCTGTTACTTATTAATGGGAAAAACTGCAACGTGCAATATGGTGGAATATGTCCCGCCTTCAAAATGAAAGTCATTGCATTACTGCATGCCCTATTAGCGGCTGTTTCTCTGGAACGTCTGGAACATCATTGACTGTACGTCTGCAACCATAGTTGTACGCATGTATGAATATCTGTATGTGAAATAGACTTCAGCAGATGATTTTGCTAGACTAACACAAGACGAAGCCGTTAGGTAATGTGATGTTTAAAAGGTATTATAGTTTAAAAAGCCTGTAATATTGAGTTAATACATATTAAAAACACAAACCAACACATTCTTACCTATGAAAGATTATCCAGTTTCTACAGGAATTTAAATTTCGGTGTCTTTTTTACAACCGAGCTGCGCAATGTTTTGGCATCTTAAAACCGATTTTTATTGTGAGTGACGACACATTGACTGTTCCAAGATGGTGGACTCGTCGCCGTATCTGGAGCGGTCTAATGTGGCATCTACCTATGGTTTTAACACTATTTGAGCATAAATAACATTTATGGGGCAGTTCATTTCAGATTTTGTTTTGCGGATTTGAAATATGTAATTTAATTGTAAGTTCAGCAAGCAGTTTTTGAGATTTCAGGACACCCCCATTCATTTAAATTTGGACTTGGTCTTGGATGCCCAAAATAGCTGCCCAGAGGAGTTGCAAATATGGCTGCCAAGTGAACAGACTTACCTTGAATGGGACTTTGGTAGCTATAGCATTAACATACTTACTTTACACTGTACACTGCATGTTTTGTGAACATTAGTCCCATTTTTTTTAATACAGACCTATACAGTACGTAAACGAAGAACAAGTTTATGGCTAAAATGAGAATGACTTAAATTATCGCAAGTTTGTTTATTTCGTCCTAATAGGAGACGTTGTCTTTTTCCCGCCTAACATAGCTTACTTCAGAAACTTAAACAACCAAGCAAAGTGTTGCTATCACTAAAATTACCGCAGAAAATTTGAATTAAGCAGTTTAAATCCAGTCTAAAATAAAAATTTGGCAGCAGTTATCCTCAGCTTCCTTTTGTTTCTGTGTGGCGGTTGAGATCTTTATCGAGCTCCCGCCTTTTAAAGCACCCGCGCGCCTCCCGCCGTCCTCCGTTTCCCTGGCAGCCCGGGATGATTGACACACCGAGGCTAGTCCCGGACCCTCCCTCCGCTCTGCTCTGCTCTGCTCTGCTCTCCTCACTTGAGCTCTGATCGCGAGCCTCAGTAACTTTCTACAGCGAGAGGGATGCAGCGCGCGCTCAGCGCAGCCTGAAAATGGCAACCCTTTGGATTTATCCGTCCCTTATTTTCTTTCTTTTCTCCTCCCTCACACCGAGTCAAGCCTTACGGAATTACCCAGAGAATGAAGGTAAGAGGGTTTTGTCTATAAAAACTAAAGAATAGGATTAATTAATGGCTGAGGTTTGCGGGAGACACAGTTTTCTGAAGTGCGCTCTGGATGCTGTGGTTCCTATAAATCATGCATAAGGTGAATGAAGCAAGCAGAGAAAAATAGCAAGTGCATGTGTTTTTAACTATAAGGTTTATTGAAATATTAGGGTACAACATGCTTGTCCTGTAGAACTCGCTGTTAAACTGCTTCCCGTGGATTGCAGTTGGACATTTACACAAAAAAAAAAAAATGCTATACATGTGCCACTTATTAGGATAATGAAAATGATTGCACACGATCACAAGTGTGATTTTAAGAATTATTGTAATGAACATGTTTGCTACCACAGCAAAAAATAAAGACAAGTATGCAAAAATCAGTTCACGAAGCTTAATACTCTTATACTCTATTCGAAAGTCACTGTACAACTGTAAAGCAATATTTATTTATTTTATTTTTTTCTAAAAGTTAACTGGAAGAAACTTAAGAGTTTGGGTATGTATTAGAAAGGTATTTAATATATTATTTAAAATTGTATTAAGTGTTAAAGTTATTTGAAAGTACATACATTTGCTAAGGATTAAAAATGAATAAAACAAAATTAAGAACTTGATGTGAGCAGGTAAAACTCTTATATTTCCAGAAATCGTGCAGTGTGTTGTGCCGTATGGCCAGCTGGAACCAGCGAGAAGTCTCTATAAGCCTGATGATTTATCAGTGACCATAAGGTGATTTGTTAATGGTGACTGCATCTTGTCTATATAGCAGTCTCAATGCACACTAGAAAAATCTGTTCCACAG